TATGCCACGTTGATGCATGTGGGTTCAATTCCTTGGGTGGCCTTTCTTTGGGTAGGTTTCCTCTGGGTACTCTGGTTTCTCCTACCCCTAAAAACAAGTTTTCCAACTCTGGTAGTTCTGAGCATCGGCACGCGGGTCAAATGGGGAAATATGGGCCCACGGAATGATTTAATGTACCTTGCCTTACCTTAACTTAATTGGTATATACGGTACATATAGAGCTCTCGTTATGTTTTTGAGAGGCATACTATCAAGTGTGTTCCTTATTCCACCTTCCAAAAGAGAAGAGAGAATTTTGTCACTCCTCCATTTGCACATCGCCTGGCATTACTTTTGCCTGACAAATATGAATAAATAAACCTGGCCTGTTTTGATAGACTGGTCTCAGGTTTATGCGGTGGCACATGGGACGATTGCGAATCCAGGTGATTGACAGCGGTAAGCCGAGGAGCTGCGTGGGCCCGGGAGAAGCCCTTGTCACAATGCGATCTATCTGCTCTTTCACTGGGACTCCCCGACCGGCCCCCTCTCAAAACGCTTGTTTCGCACTGGGGAAGTAAAGCCGCTGGATTACCCTGCTATTGCTGAGGATGGTGTGAAGTTATTATTTTTTACTATATTTTTGACTGCCTTGCATCAGCGACCGTGGATCCAAACCTTGTCTTTGGGCGTCCCTTTTTTGGGCCTCCTTTTCTCTCTTTGCAGGTGATTCTTTGCAACGTCATTTTTAAAAACATTTTTATCTAAAGCGGCTTTAACCTGGTTAAATAAAGGTCATTTTGAAAGGGCTATGTACCCACTAACACCCACACACCCTGAATACCCCTGACCTAAGCATGGCTGTGTGTCGCAGAGTTGCATCACTTTGAGGGGTAATGCGGTAATTACAAGCAAGAGTCAGCAGAGTTTCAGTGCCCACTGGACTGCAAACTAACCCTCTGTCTCTGCCATGTTCTATTATGTTTACCTGTAGTGCTTCGGTTTAATGGGAGATGATATAAACTATTATTATTATTATTATTATCATTATTATTATATGTGTCATGCGGTGACAAGATTGAAGAACCCGAAAAGCAGGAATGCAATCATAATTTAATGATTTAATGAAGACAAGGAAATTAAAGTCCAAGGAAAGAGTCAAATGTCCAAAATGATACACGGGAACCAGGAAAACCACAGATGAGTATGAACACACAAAGACATTGGACCAGCAACACATGAGGTTGAGCACAGGGGACATACAGACAGAGACACAGGTGAAACACATTAGGGTGGGGCAGACAGTCAAATAGGGGAACAGCAGGAAGTACTTCTACCATTTCTACTTCCACTGTTACTTCAGTGTAGATTCCTATAGTCAAGACTATCCCACACAGTTTGTCTATTTGTGGTGAGAACTGCCCTGAGTAATGCCACAAATGTATTTCCCTCTGGGATCAATAATGTTTTCTCAATTTGAAGTCTTAACCTACAAGATATCTGGAAAGACTTGGTTTGTCAGTAAGATGAGCGCCTGCTGTATCAAAGTTAAAAAGCAAGACAAATGTTACTCCAAATTTACTTCAATATCTTTCAAATGTTAGTTATAACATCATTAAATTTAGGATTTGACCTACGTTCAACTATTTGTCATTTCCTGTCAGTCTGGTAATACAATAATTAGCATCCGCCATCAGAAGAGCCCCTGTGCCCACCGGCCTGCCAAAGTGAGCAAGCCCACTCTGCCAACTGCCATGCCCCATTCATGTCCTATTCATCTAGTGCTGAATAAAAAGACTGCTCCTCGGGACATCCAACCCTCCTCTGGCCTGGATTTTTTGTGAACCAGGATTAGCATTAAAAGGAGTAGACTGCTGAGGTAGGCTCGGCAGGGATGCATGAATGCATACCTTAGTTCTGCCAAGCCGCCTCTATTCTGTTCAGTAGAGATTTTTTAGCTCGGCTACAATTTATGCTCCGTGCAGGACACCCTTCTCATTTCGCCCTCATTGTCAGCCTTTTAGAACTTTTTGGTTTTTTTCAGAGCACAGCTTTGTCTTCCCCCACAACCCTATCTCCTGTCACACTTCAGTCTTCTCCAATCAATCTCCCAATTAATCAATTTAACTTATTTTAAACCCAGAGAATAAAGCGGACAGGAGGAAAGAGAAGGACAAAAAAGACACATCTAATACTTTGGCATTTATCAGCATGATATTTGACATTTGAGAGAGCAGGTCTCATCAATTTTGGTTGAAAAGAAACAGGGCTGAAAGTGAGGAGCTTTCAGTAATGGTTTCATGGAAAAGCTTCTCTCCACATGCAGAAGGCAGCTCATTCCCCCATTTAAACATGCATGTTTTCATATTGTTAATTCTGGATGAAAATGTTTTATTGAAAAATAGGATAATTTGATTGAATTTAAAATGCTCAACAAATCTGATGAAGAAGTATTCACTGATAAACCAGAGATAAAACTACACAATCTTGGATTTTTTTCTTTAAATGTCTCTGTTAGAAGGACTGGTCAAATCATTTTCAGTATTTTATCAATATAGATTTAACCCATCAGTTGTACCCATCGGCCGGATGTATTCAAGAGTAGGCGAAATAAGGATTAGTTTCAGCCTACAAATGTTTGTTTTTCTGCATTTAAGTTATTGTATAATGATGTACATACATGTTTAACCAAAATAAGCTTCGCACAAATGTGGGTATTGCATTAGAATCAAAAACAAAAATAAGGTTTTTGGGAATCTTGACAAACAATTTGAGCTAAAAATCATTGTATCTATGCATTATAAACACAACTTGTTTGCCCATGTGTTGAACATAATGATAAATTGAAGTATCTCAAACCAAGCAGACGAGATCCCCCTCTGGCTCAACTGTCTTTCCGAGTGAGAGAATAAAAACTTCTTGGTATAAAATTGGAAGAAACCACATAGTGGGCATTCATTCTGGGACAGACAGGTGGTGCAATAGGTGCTGTCAAGACAAATATATCAACTCCTGCTGCTTGGAGGAGACCGAATATGAAAAATTGATACCTGATACTCCCCATACAAGTGATGTCACTCAATAAAATGTGGGCCTTACGTCCTAATGCCATCAAAGCCGTTTTCCCATCACGCCCGGGTCAGGGGATATCCAAGACTATTAGGATCCATCATTTTCGGAGCACAGAAGTTTGCACACCATTTCAGTGGGATACAATGAAAACCAGCAGTGACAGAGGCAGCCCGAGCTACTTACCGGTCTAGTGCCTTATCAGCGTGTCAGCACATGTGATGTATGTCTGCTGGCTTGTGGGTGCGCATGCTGTCCTCATAATGGAGTGGTAAAGCTGCAGGCATTATAGATCGAAAGTGCGCCGTCCCAACCATGAATCTGCCCCTAACTGCTCCTCTGCCTTTTGTGGCCGTAACGATTGGCCAACTCCCCCCTGTCACCATATTTCCTCCATCTTAGTTTAGAAAGAGAGATATATCTCTCTATAAAGGAGTCTGGAGCAGCTTGGCGTTGGGATACACAAAAGGGTCAGGATGGTGGTTGATAAAAGCTTCTTATGAGGAAGAGCAGAGGAGCGGCGTAGGCAATGTCGGATAGGCCTATTCTTTTCTTCACAAAGACACGCTCTCAGTCAAGACACTATCGCTGTTTGTGAATGCATGCACGTGCTCCTGTCTCTAATCCAGACACTCTTCCTTTCCTTTCTTGTTAGGAGATGCTAATATACCACATGACAAAGCCCTGGTCGACAGCCCCTCAGACAAAATACTTTCTCACTAAAGCAATTCATCCCTATGCAGAGAGTGGATGCCAATGCAAGAAGTCTCTTAAAAAGATGCATTTCAGAACTGACTGGTCATGTTTACAGTTTTGTGTTGCTACTATTTTTTTCTATGATTTAATCTATTGTCAAAAGTACTTGAATTGGCGATGCTCTTACAATCATCGCCGGAAATGTGTATTTCCAACTCACACATTTTGATTCTTGAAGCAGATACCTGAAGAAGTGTTTTTGTTTTGACCTATCATAGTATCCATACTGTCAACACACGTGTCATTGATCCCAATCATGTTTTTTTCAGTTCAATAGCAATTTAACTTTCAAATGAAACCCTTCTCCTGTGTAGTATTGGGTAGATACTGTTTTGTGGGGTTTCTTGCATTGCTGGATGGCTTTGGTCTAACTGACATTTCTAATGACCAATGACTTGTATTGTGTGTGAAACAAGTGTTAAATAAATACAACACCAAACTGCTGAAATCGAGGTCATTCGCTAAATGCACTTATATCACTGCAACAATGTTTGGCAAAGAAAGGTGTCTAAACTTCCATTGTATATCTGTTATTTTGGTGTTGTGTTCAACTTATTGAAGCAGGATCATATTGCACAAAAGCCACACTGCCTACATTTTCTTAAGAAAAGTGAGTTGATAAACAACACAAACAATACTGTTAAAATCAAGGTCATTTAACTTTTTCCATGAAATATCATTTCTCTTGAGAGAATATGTGCTAGGCATAAAAACAAACGTTACAAAAGGACAAGCAGGAACAAAAACATTTGTATCAAGAGAACTTCATAAAAATGAGCAATATTATCACTTTTCAATAATTGTTTTGTCTGTTGCCGTGGACCTGTGTTTGTTTGTGATGTGGTACAGTCTTTTATAAAATACTATTTCATGCAAAATAATATGAAATATGAATGCAGTTCTATGTTCCTATAGGGGAATTGTGAGGGTCAAATATTTGACTCATCCAATGCTCCATGAATTTTGTGTTTGGAATTGTCTTCCTGTAATGCCTAAAAGGTGTTCAACTTGAACGAAAGCCTCTTCTTTCACACTTCATTAGCGGAGAAGCTGATCACATTGATGTTTGAGGACATCAGGTTGTTTATTAATTACCCCCACTGAAACGCCAAAGAACTTCCTGTCTATTCTGATAAACTCAGTTTCATCGTGCACACTACAAGCAGTCTGTGAATGTCTTTGTGTCGTGTGTGCAGAGAAATGGGTGCGAGGGAAAGCCATCGACAAAGGAGAGGTAGACGTTGGAACGCAGCAGAACCAGGCCATCCCACCCGGTCTGTTCTGGAGGTTCCACATGACCGTGCACCACCCCACCTACATCAAGTTCAACCTGTCCCTGTCCCACAATGCACTGCTGGGGGTCTACGGCCGCAGGAACATCCCACCTACTCACACACAGGTAATGTGGTTTGCAGAGAAATACTTTGGTGGTGATTTAGAATGTTATAATATTTACTTTGTATTATGAGAAATTATTCAACCTGCTCTATACAGTCGGGACAATCTATGACTTCCAATAAATGGCTGAATAAACTGGATGCAGCTCAACACATGATGCAAGGACTCACAACTAGGACTGGCCTAAGTAAAGATTTGGCATTACTTAAAGTAAGAGGGAAAGAAGTACAATCGTCAGTCACGGGGAATTTACACAGTAGGCGTAAACAGCGCGTACGCGTTTACTGCGCGCTCTCTGCGCGTAACATTTTTTGGAGTATCTACACTGACCGTGTGCGCAGGTCCGCGTCTTCTGATACTCTCCCTGTGTAGTCTATGGAGCAGTGCAGAGGACAGTACGGGCCAGAGGACTGATATAGAGCAACACAGATCACATGCATGTGTTTGTCCTCATGGTCTCTGTGCGCTGGTTTGCCCAGACGCCAGACTTTATGAAAGAAAAAAACCGATGTCCAGAATCACTGTAAAACCTGCTGCTCCTCCTGCTGATGTTTAGATACAAGTGCTGTGTGTGTGTAGATGCAATCTAGAGCCAAGGACCGCTAGAAAAATCATGTTTTACATGAGATCTCAATGGGAGACGCGTTGGTGCACGCACAAAATTAGAAATCCATCCTAAAATAGAGCGCAGCTTCGCGTCATACGTCCGTCATACGCGCGTATAACGCTAGAAGTGTAAATATCATCATAGGTTAACATGGAAAAAAGTTACGCGCGTCTGCTGCGCGTATAACGCGTACGTGCTGTAACGCGTGATGTGTAAATTAGCAGTTAGACCCGTCCCCAAATCACTCTAACAGCTTTCTTATTGGACGATATCAATCAAAAACCTTGCCATTGGTCGAACTATTCTTCTCCAGAAAATATTACTGGTTGTGAGGGAAATTTGAAATACATGAGTTTTTAGACATACTTTAAATGATAGTAAAGGGTCATAAAATACTTTAGAATAGAATAAACAACATTGTCCATGCAGGGGAATTTGTCTTGGACTCAGTAACAATTGCCACATAATGTAGTCACAGAAAGGAACATTTAGAAAAGGTAAAACATCATGAATACATTTTAGAAAGAGATTAGAAATACAGCAATTGAAACAACTAGAAGGTGCCAGTGTTGAAGTGTCTTTTAGAGTTCAATAATTTAAAGAAGTTGCTATGAAAGACTGCTTGATGGCTGGATTTACTCCTTCTTCCTGAAAGTAACATGGTGTACTCAGAGAACAGTGGCTGCTCATGGTCTCACTGATCTTTGAGCCCTGTCTGACAACAGCCTCATACATTGTCTACAGCAGGGGTCTCCAACCTGTAGCACGGGAGTCACCAGTAGCTCGCCACCCCCTTCCAGGTAGCTCGCCTAAGGATTTAAAAATGAACAAATTAAATAATATACAGGATATTTCAAATTCTATTACTCATTACCCATATTTATTGTTGTAAATGCACTTACTTTGTGCACTAGTAAAAAATATGCGATGATAAATACTGACTGCACCCAATATCAGGCTTATTCACACCAACATATCACAATTTTTTACCCAGGGTCGCTTAAAAGAGTAGCTCTCTGCCTTTATCGTCCCGGGAAGTAGCTCTCTGGGTGGAAAAGGTTGGAGACACCTGGTCTACAGTGATACATTGTCTACAGTGATTCTGGCATTTTGCTGGCATCACCTTTAATGCACCGGGTTCAGACTGTCCTGAGTCAATCTTTTGGTCAATATACATGTTTGGGAAATTTTTTGACAAATGATAAACATGTGTATTCATTTTTTAGTAAATGTATGAGATGCAGAAGGACAACAACAATACCGATAGATAGACAACAATAGAAACCATGCTCTGAACTTCAAATGTGTCTAAAACTCACCGTTTGGGTAATATAAAGAGTGTAGCGCTTGGAAAACAACTTATATTCACTTTGTTCTATACAGCTGCTACCTGCGTCTATCACATCGGACTGTACAAAAACTCATTTTCTTTTGTGACCTTTCATTCAAACTGTGACTGTGTTGTAAATGATTTTGAGCACAAGCCTTGGATGTAGGATGGAGCGCTTTTAAAACCAACAAAACGTCTGCTTATATAAGGTCAGTGGTGGCGCTTGATGTGCTTTATATAAGCTATGAATTCCTTATTCAAACACCTGTTCCTTTTGATAAGCTTGTGTTGGAGATATCTGCTTGTTTGGTTTCATAAGGCTGTATATTTTGACAGTATGTAGCCAGTTTTTCCATAACCTAGAATCAGACATGACCATCACTATTGTAACGCATATCCTACATAAGTCTTCCAACTGTGGGATGAATAAAAGTTGTCATATCCTAACTTGAATCTCTTCGCCTTGTTCTAAATTAATCACATCATTGTAGTGTAAAAAAGGAGGAGCCAGATGGCACTTGAAATCCTCAAAATCGCTGGCTTTTTTCTATGGTTGTTTTTATTTCCTCCAGTGGAATTAGGTTGGAATTTACCCAGATAAGTCCCTTCTGCTCGGCTCATGAACTATCTGATCCAATTTGAGCTATTCTCTTTACAGCTTAGTTCTGTGAACAGTAAGGACATGACAAACATCAATAGGGCCAAAGTCGCCATCCATAGACAAACCTTTCTCATGAAGTTATTTGGTTCTTCTATACCAGGCCATTTTAAGATACTAATGGGAACCTTGACACGTTCCGATGGCGTTGAGTGAGGATGAGTGAAAGTTTGCCAAGATTATTATCAGCGCTTTTTTAGATTTGTCAGGTATAGAATAATCAAACAATCTACTACGAAGACAACCAACATGAACTCAGATTCTTGAACCCAAATTGGTGAATGTGACACTAATGTTACAGAGTTAGAGGAGATTAGGGCGGCACAGTGGCTGAGTGGATAGCACTCTCGCCTCTGAGCAAGAAGGTCCTGGGTTCGAATCCCGGTCGGACCAGGGCCTTTCTGAGTGGAGTGGCATGTTCTCCCCGTGTCTGCGTAGGTTTCCTCCGGGTACTCCGGTTTCCCCTACCAATAAAAATATGTACAATAGTTCTGGCATGCGCCTCCTGTTCGGCGACCCCGCTCCCATCTCTGTGTGGAGTGAGAGGACAAGTGCCCAAAAAATAACAATTGTAAACGGCTTTGAGACTCTGGTCTGTGAAAGGCCGTGTATTAATAAAGATAACTTACTTACTTCAATGCAAGCTAAATTTTGCTCATGAGCAGTTCCCTATTAGCCATTATGGTGCTAGCGGGTTAGCACTGCCCATCTCCATATATACAGACTATGCAGGTGAGTTTATTCGACTTTTGGTTTACATTTAGCTGTGTCCTATACTTTTCCTTCAAGTATCTTGCGATGCGGACTGGTACACAAGCAAGTCTCAACAATACACGTGACAGTCTAAAGCAGGCCATAATTATACATAATTTGCAGCATATGGATGGTAAAAATTGGTTTCACTGATCAAATCCTGTCATAATTACATGTATGATTTACAGACGTATAACCAAGTGTATAAACTAAAACAAAATACATATTTTCCGAACAGATTTTCAGCCACAGTCCAATTAGCACAACCCTAAATCCACACAAACACTCACCTGAGCAGTATTGTTTTGTCTGTTTGCGAATGCTAATTGCTGTTCTCAACTCTATGTATTCAGGAGGGTTAAGGGTTGCCTTGACAAATCTATTGTTGTTGCCAAGCTTTAAAGTCTATCTTCCTCTCGACAGCATGTGCATCCATTGTAATAGATAAATATTCACTGACAGAGCCTCCCAGCAGTCACATGTCCACACCTGCTCCCCAGCGTGACTCCTCACTCTACCACTTCACCCATATACAGTACACGTGGCTCCCTACCTCTGCCATATGGAGAATAAGCATGATGAATTTCTCAATATAGAAACAGAGGTGGAGGTGGCTGGTTAGCGCCGGCTTGATTTGGATGTTTTTAACAGGATAAACAAGAGCGATTGGCATTGGTGGTTTGTCTTGCACATGTATCCCCCACAGAAAACAAAGCGTGTCTATAAGGTATAAATGGAAGTAAATAATTGTTGTGTCACACTGGCTCTTGCTGTAGATTAGTCATGAGGAAAATGAGAGCGCAGAGAGAAGTTTTAGAGCAAAGTCCGTGACTAATGATGGGAGATCTGTTTGTTTTGAGATGACTAAACTAGTGGTGTTTTTAATAAAAGTCAGTATGTCTCCGGTTTGGAGACATACTGACAATTTTAGCAGTTTAGCAATGGTTATATGTGGCTACTCCCATGCCAATTGTGGTCTGGCTTGTGATGGTAGTTGCAAAAACAAAACACTAGAAGAAGTGGACTGACCAAGTGCTGATGTCACTTGTGTTTGCCTAGTGCAGGAAAAGCAGTTTGAGCAAACTCACATTGGGTCCAAATTCGTAGCCAATGGGTTAATATTGGGTAAATGCAAAGAGCAGTGGGCAGTAGGCAGGTTGTGTTGATAATGTGGCCTGTTGGACTAGATCATTTAATGCAGAAAAATACAGTAGATTGCTTCAACATCCATGAGTCACTCTAAACCAACTTCAAGTAGGCACATAAGATCAACGCAAATATTTACAGCAGGGTTAAAAGCGTTAAAAAAGTATGTTTTCTAGCTCAACTTTATTATTGCAAACACCCGACAAAGTAGGAGACACCCTCTTATTCTAGCTGCATTCATCAATGTGTTATGTTCAAAGTTACTTAGTACTTCACCTGTTCTCGGTAAAATAATGTGTCAACAAACAACTTCAGAAGGCACTTTGTATCGTATAATGTGTGGAACAGCCTTGACTCCAATCTCCAGTTCAGATGAATTCTTTCTTTCACCTTCCTGTTTCATGAACCTTCCTCTCTTCTCCTCTATTCTGACACTCATGAATAATGATACAATAAATGAATAATAAGCAAAAATAAAAAAAATGTTGTGGGTTAGTGAAAAGAAGAGAATAATTGTTATAATTGCAGTTAGTTCAGGGATTAAATCCAGAAATTGCCCCTCCAACATGTTACACCATAAACAACAAAGTATTATTTTTGGCAAACTTAAAAATGGACAGACGTAATACATGGGCATGTTCCAGTGGTGGTCAGGGCCCACAAGGTTGCTTGACCAGCCCGTCTACATTTTCAGATATACTGTTGTTCAAACATATAGTGAAAGGAAGAAAGCAGACCATGGTTTTTTCCAAAGTCATAAAAGGTTATATACATTTATCGTGACTCAAATCTTATCACAAGAAACAAGCCAATGCACACCCCTATAGTTCAAAATATATAATATTAAGGTTCCTAACCTGTCTATCAAACACTGACCATAAACATATTGCATAAATTGGGCAGAAATTCAGACTCCCTTTATAAACAATAATATTTGCATTTCTTTTTAATAACTCAACCCCCAGTAACTTTGCAAGTAGAAAAAACAATACATGCATAGCAATGGTTCCCTAAAATTGTTATCGTAAAATAGGAAGGCACAAATCCTCAATATTTGTAGTGCAACATTGTGCCGCACAAGACAGAACCACAACGCTGTAGTCATCTGCTTCTTTAATACGGCCCTCGTCTGCATGAAGTGCTCTAATTAGCTGTTTTTGACACTGGTGTGGCACACAACCCTCTGGGGGAATAAAACTCAGAAAGTGCTCCACGGTTCAAGGGGATGGAGTGAGAGAGGGAAGCGACCGAGAAATGAAGGATTTGTGATAGAAAGAATGGTTTAGAGATGGATAAAGTCGCAGTCTGTGCATGTTGTGGAGCTGTGTAGTAATGCTGTGTAGATGAGTATTTATGATGCACAGTACATCTATGTATATTCTGAATCCAATTGTCACGCTACCATGTCCATGCCATGTCCATAAACAAACAAGTTCATCCTTAAAAGTTTGTGGAATAGCTCATCACTACACTAAAATCCTCTGTGTTTGGACTATCCTCCTACTGTAAATAAAAAAAGCAAAATTGCCAAGGTACTCCTGTCTTTCCTCGAGATGCGCAAGTATGTTTTACAGTGCATGCAAATCTGTTTCCCAGAGTTATTTTTTATGCAGGCATTTTTCCAATAGCGTCCCATTGGCAGAAACACAAAGCTTACTCAACAGCAGCCACACACCACTGCGCCCGGTTTGGATTGCAAATATCTCCGGCATTAATGCAGGTTTTGTGGATCCTCGTCTCGTTCCTGAGCGCTTGTGTTTTGCTGTTTTGGTCTGATAGTGTTTCCGTATTGTTTTCAGTTCGACTTTGTGAAGCTGCTTGATGGGAAGGCCCTGCCCAGGTCGCTGACTGACCCCGTGTCGGCTGCCAAAACCCCCAAAGGGCTGCTGCTGAGTGGGTTGCAGGAGACCGGCTTTATCGAGTACATGGACCCCGGGACCTGGCACCTGGCTCTCTACAACGACGGACGCAACCTTGAGCAAGTTTTACTGCACAGCACACCAATAGGTAAGGCCGATCCCAACTGTCGGCACAATCTCGTTTTTAACCCTTGTCCTATCCTCGGCTCAAATTAAACCAACACAGAAATAATAAAATACCCTGAAGATATTTTTTGGCTGAAATTCGATGCATTTTTTACAAACTTGACCAGCCCCGGGTCCTTTTTCCTTAACTTCCTATCACTTTGGTGGGTCATTTTGATCTGAGAACAGCACAAGGGTAAATTATGAAGAATTGTCAAAAATATCAATGGACTACACATGCATTACAATATCACATCTTTTCTGCATGTAGTGATGATATAACATTATTTGTCACCATTGTTTCTGTAATCCATTAATGACTGAGTATTGAAGGTGGAAGTTTTGAATAACAAATTAAAAACGTGTTACTAAATGAATGGAATTGATTAAATGAATGTCTCATAAATGTATTTTTTAATAACAGAAACTGACGAGGATGAAGTCCAACTCTAGCTAGCTAATATAGCATAGATATTATCTAAGGTTAAGTCAAAGTATTTATGTATACAGGAAATCTGGTGTTAAAAAAATATATGGATTTTGTTGTATTCTCGCTGTCTGAAATTAAACTCATATTTCCTCTCTCAATACTGTAGTACGGTAGTGAGCCAAGTTCAATTATTGTGTTGAAAATAAGTGACCTAAAACATGTAAGATAAATAGAATATATAAATTTTGTGTACATTATACACAACTTGTGGTTTCTCCTGTATATTTTTGGTGGACATAGAGCCAAGTTTACTGTGTTGGTCTTCCAGTAGAGATGCCTTGACAGCTTCCAAAGTATGAATCACTACTGTTACTTTCGTTATCCCTTTTCACACATGTCCCCAAGAGACTATTTTAGATTATTGTGGCTATTGTATTTTTACCTGGCCCAAATTTATGGAGGTTGGAGGAAAAAGTCTCATGGTCACTCTCCAGGACAGGCTCTTTGTGTGTGGGTACACGCGTGTGCGGAGGTGTGCGTGTGCGTGTGTGTTTGTATGTATATAAATAACTGAGGTTATTCAACTACTTGATCAATACTGTATATTGTCTTTGAAATTATTCAATGAGTCTTTTTCATTTTTAGGAAAAGAGTTTGACATTTTATTGCCATGACTAGTAATTTTTTTTTGTATATTTTATGACTTATAAGAATGTCAATTATAATATATTTAGCTAAACTTGTATGGATTCAGCGAGGTCAAATAATCTTTCTCACAGCAACAGTGAGTTGTTTAAAAAAAGATTTGAACAAGCATTAAAGAGTCATGTCTATGTCAGTTTTCTCCACTAATAGAAAACAAACAGATGAAACCAACTTGAGACAATGCTGTATACACCGCTTTCTCTGGCACAGATTTCCTTCAGTAAATTCGTACCTACCTTCTCCGTTCCTGTCTGGCTCTATCACCCTCCAGCACACGCTTGTCCCTTTGCAACCCCCACGTCAAAATGTAGAAAACATCATGACGGGAGCCAGCAGTGCTTTGAAACTCATTGACATTTGAAGGGAACTTTCCTTATTATGAGAGTGAGCCTGGCTAGGCCGACAACTGCTGGAGAAAGGGAGGACAGCTACTATAGTAATGACAGGCCAGGCTAACTGCAGCTCATTGCTGTGACACACACACGGATGGCAATGTAAATTGAAGGATGTGAATAATGCACAAGCCTGGATATGGACAAGTGGGTAATTACCAGGGCGCTCTCTCCACTCCCACTTTGTCACATTGGCTTTGGCAAAAAACATTGTTGAAATAACCGGGAACATAGAGAAAGGTAATTGTAGGTACGTTCATAATAACCTAGAAAGAAGTGTAATGTTTGTGATGATAAGCACATGTTGGTCGAATGGGGGTAATCATGTATCTTTACAGTGATTTTCAGAAACTAACAAGTTAACTCAAAATATTGAATGAAAACATTACATATGAAAGATAATGATTCTAACTTTAGGTACAATTCATATGTTCTTTATAGTATATTGACCCCTTGCATGTGACGTCCCAGCCAGGCCCACTCTCCATGACAGACGCCGGAAGTCTAACTGCGAGCCTTCGGGAACTTGACCAAAACAACATGTTTCACCGAATAACAGCCAAAATTGTGATATTTTGCAGTGCGGTTGGTTGTACAAACAGGCAAGGGCATAAGCAAAATGTGTCTTTTTTATCTGATACCTGCTCGTCATGAAGACAGAAGGCGGCGATGGCCAGCGGCAATCAACCAAAAGGACTGGGACCCATCCAAGTACTCCAAAATTTGCAGCGAACACTTTTTACAAGATAAATCAATCACAATTATGTATTTAATATCTTTCCATTAATTTATTTGGAGAAAAATGACACAAAAAACGCTTGTCCTTTCTACTGTGCTGTATGTGCACTGCAACGTTGAAATGTCCTCACTGTGGCACAAATAAAAGATCTATCTTATCTTGACGTCAGTTGCGTTTTTCACCATTTTGCTCTCCGTCAATAGGTATCATGTTTGGCTGTTGATAGAAAAGGGCATTGCTAATGTGCTAATGCTACCAGCAAAATGTAAATTTAAATCTGCTCCAGTGTGAGGGGATGCAATGTTAACGACATAATGCTAAAGATCATGAGGGGTGAATTTGGGAAAAACTGACTTAACTGGGGGGAGAAGGTACGGGTCAACCTCCAGTTAGGCAATCCTTAACTTCTCCAAATACCACTCTTTGTGAGCCCTGAAAAGATGTCCTACTTGCACCTATTACGTTATCAAACATGTGCTTGAAGAAGCCACTTCTCGATTTAGGAGAGGAAGCTCCGTTTTTAAGAGTTGTGTCCGTTTTGCTCTTGCCACAATGCTAGTTTCCAATACTTCTGCCGTAAGCTCATTCACAATCACGTAACTGGATGACGTTGATGCATCTGGTCAATAGAAGGTGTGTGACAAAGTAAGTACACAAAAAGACAAAAATAAACACCAGTAAAATTCAATCCACTTTATTTTCTATAGCCCTAAGTCACAACAGCAGTCATCTCAAAGGACTTTACAAAGTTTTGCCAAAACAGAACAGAGAATTACAGTAAATAGTTTGAAAAAAGGAAATGCAATAATAACTAAAATAGAGGCCATTGGTCGATAGATGACCAATGTCCTTCAATGTTAATAAATGTCCACAATATTCCAGTGGGAAAGAAGTGAGAAACCCTGGGGAGGCCAACAATGAGAGAGGGATCCGCTCTCAATGCATCGTTTGAAAATGGGTCGCATGAAGCCTCTCACTCTTACAACACAAAACACACATGCACACATGCACACATGCACACATGCATACATACACACATATACACACACACCCGCACACACACAGGCCCAAACACACTCTGACTCTTTTTTATGATTGTATTTATGTGTCATGTCCTACTAAAAAAAAAAAATACAATCAAATTCCACGTATATCAAGTAATGTTGTCAGTATGGCATTGGGAGTGCACAGTCTTCATTATTGACAGCTCTTTCTTCTCAAATATATAGAATTGTCATCAAACATTTTCTGGTTGAACTATCTTTGAGCATTTAATTTTGATATTCCACTCCAAACGACTAGTAGAGCTCTGCCAGTTGGAGTCTCTTGCCTGATTTGACGTTTTGACAGATGCACTGTGCTCCACATCTGTCTGTGCCCTTTTCGTTTGCACATATCAAGCTGCACCAGCGACATTAGAAGCCTATGTTTTGTGCCACTGAATAAACAGCATCACCGTGAAAAACAACATAGTGGATACCCAACTCCTCTACACAATGACTGACAGCATGTGGCATACAAATACGACTTCATCTCAATCTTTGCAAATATTTGTCGACACTTGTGCTGTCTGCTAAAGCTGGAATTTACCAAAAACCTATTTTAAGTCCCCTTCTGTAGCTCAGAAGGATAAAAGACCTAACTTTGTTCTGCATTCTCCTCTATAATTGAAACAAATACAGAGACAGCTCATGCGCCCACAATATCAGCTTCTATTGCACCATGATTTTTCAACATAATTAATCAAGAGATTTAGGGACGAGAGAATAGTATTACTGGATTAATGTCAGGGTTCATTATCCTGGCCATTTGCACATTGCCTCAAACATACAAAGAGAGGGTTTGTGTGTTGTTTTTTTGCCCAGAAATCAAAGTTCAATATCATGTATTAAGAGAAACACTTCTGCAGCTTGGGGATACAAAGATAGAGGGAAGAGGAGTGCTGCTGGGTTATACACTGTTTAACTGTGCATACAACTGAGGGATTTTATATTTTTATCTTTCTTTTTAATGTTCTGTGATAATTTATGATTTTAATGCTTTCTTGTTTTGTTCAGCACTTTGAATTGCCTTGTGTATGAATTGTGCTATATAAATAAACTTGCCTTGCCTTGCCTTACACTAACTGTGCTTCTCATTGACTGCCAGCCGTTTTTGATTATTTCACTGATTCTCAAGACCCATAGAATATTATTTCCTAAGACTATGTGAAATGTGAAACCAGATTCTGAAAGACTGGATTGTCCACTTTGATCAGCAATATTTTTATTGTTTTTAGCTATGTTTATGTTCCTGTAATCCTCAGTTGAATAGAGGGTCTAAGACAAATATGTCAATGGCAGTCAATGAGTTAAAGTATCCATAGGAAAATAAAAGTCTGTGCATTCTGGGGTGGTAAGAAAATGAAGCTCAAGCGGATGTTCAGACTGAAAGACCGAGTGCCTGCCAGCCTCGAGCCTCAGCCAATCACACAGCTCTGCCAGCCTCGAGCCTCAGCCAATCACACAGCCAGGCCAGCCTCCTGCCAACCCTCTCAGAGCAAAGCGGGCAGTTTAAAAGGCAGCCACTTCCTGACAAACAACGCTTCCTGAGGCTCTTAAACACCCACCACCTCCCCAGCACCCCCTCTGGCTCTTGGCTCCCGATCTGGCTCCCGCTCTAGGCTCCCACTCCGGCTCCTGCTCCGCCTACGCCCCATTCACACCATACTCTAGCCA